CAGCGGGACCCGCCAGGCGGTGCCTTTAATTGGGTCTCAGGCAAACTCAGAGGACACGCATTTGGTAGACCAGAAGACTGATGCACCGGACAGCCAGACGGGGTTAGCGGAGCAGTGCACTGGGATAAGGAAGCGACCTGCCACAGACGGTAATGACCCTTTCAAATGAGTGAAATGTCTTTCTGTGTGTCTGTGTTAGCGGCACTGCCTTGCCTGCCTGAGGGTCTTTAACCTCAACTTTGTTTTCAGCGCATTCTGATTTAGCTCTGGGGGAGCGCACTTTCTTAATCTTAGGTTTTAAATGCTATTTATTTAGCTGACTGCTTGTCTGTTTATGACTTTTAAGTCAGAAGCCTGAGACTGTGTTATCTATCTGGTAATTCTTCTAACTGAAAACATCGCGGCTCCTCCCCGCTCGCCAGCGGTAGGTATGTGACAACGTTGGGATGTTTATCAACGGCCTCCCTCTTCGCTTTGGAGAGAGAGCTTTGGGGGCGTAGAATACTTTCTGTTATGTGAAAACAACCTCATTTTGTGCCCTTAAAGGCCACTGGGAATGACGGATCCAGGATTGTGGGTGTAGGTGGTGGGTTTTTCATCCCCTGGTTCTTGGGTCCACTTCTGTCACCCATTGTTTTTTCTAATAAAGATTGTTTGTGTGTGTTCTTTTTAAAATTCCCTCCTGCCCTTAGATTCCTCTACTCAAAACAAAAGAGCAAACAGAACAGAAGAAAATGTTTCAGACGGTTCCCCGAACGCGGGTTCAGTGGAGCAGACGCCCAAGAAGCCGGGCCTCAGAAGGCGTCAAACGTAAAGTACTCGGTGGGTTGATTACTACGAGCAAAGAAGTGACCCCCGAATTGGGCTGCAGGAACTCGTGGGCTTTCCAGCCCCAGGATCACCCGATCTCAGTGGTGGCTGGCAGATTAGAGCTTGTGGGTTTTTGTTCGGTTTATATTTTGGAGGTCAAAAGAAGTAGGAATGGGGAAGACTGAGAATCAGTGTGGAGGTGCTGTAATTCTTCCCAGTTTCTATGTCCTGAGATCATTTTCCTTCGAAGTACCAAATGATTAGAGCAAGGGTCCCAGGCAAGTACTTGTAACCAAGGCCCTGTGGGGAGGAAGGTCAGTTCTCTGAGAGTCCCATCAAAACATGTTGGGAACAATAGGTTCTTTTTCCATCTGAACAAGAGCGGGGGTCTGCCTCCATCCCACTTCATGAGAATTCATCTCCCCGAAGACCAGGTTGACTCAGATTTTGAGCCACACATGGAAAAATGATTTAATTCAAATAAATGATTTAATTCAAACTTTGAGGGAAAAGTGAGGCACAAATGGCTCATAGCTGGTTGTTCAAATGGTTAGAAACGTGACAAGAGAGGTATGTGGTTTCCTTTGGTTTTTATCATTTTCACAAACTCTCACTTTCCCTATCTTCTGATAAGTTTGGGGGATGGAGAAGGAACGTGTGTATTTAAAAAAACCAAAATGGAAGGCTCAGAAATCCTAAGGTTCTGACGGAATTTCTGATAACACTGAAGTTGCAAAGCAAAAGTTAAAGTAACTGCCAGGGTAAGCAGTCCAGGAACACGTCAGCATGTGTATGCCAGTCGTGCTATAACAGGGGAATTTAGATACTTGTAGGGGAAATGGATAGTAGATATCAGAGCTGACGGGGTAGGTGTACCCCAAACAAGGGAAGTGGAGATTTTTGCCATCTACTAAAATATGATCAACATGAAAAGCTAATTTGAATAATTCAGCCCCCAGCTTTACGTGGATTGGTCTCCATAATGATCAGGCTACATGTATTAATAGTTCGTAAACGTCTTACAGACAACGACCGTGTCCTCTTTTTTTTTTTCCAAAACACCCTCATAGCCTAGCATATAAAGAGATCCTAAGAGATGTTGATATTAACTTTTAAAATCCTCATCTATAAAAATTAAAAATTAAAAAAAAGGGATGAAGGTGGGGTTCAAGTTTGTTGTATTTTTAAATCAGTGTCACATATAGGATTTCATTACATACATATTTTTCAGAGCTTATACAAAACGGCGCTATTGAACTTCTCCATCACAGCTTATATATGAAGTGGGTAAATTGGTTGAAAAAATTTTCTGAAGCAACCTTACCACCTGCAGCTCTTGTTGGTTTGTGACTTGTGGCCTAGCTCATCAGATGAGACACAGCAAATCAGACCTACTGGATTTTGATCTGGCCCCATTCTGACATACAGAGAAGCATTTGTTAGTAAATATTGCCAGTTCAGAGAATACAGGAAATAGTAGTAAGGACCTATTCATAAGCATTTGTGTGTATATTCTACATATGACTAAGCCTAAAATATTTTGAGAAAAAGAAAAGTGAATAGAATTTTCTTTGGATAGTCTTTTTAAGTGTGATTTCCAGTTATTTTTCAAACTTAGAAAATTTTGCTACTCTTATGTGTTACACTTTCTGAATTTTCCTGTGTCTGTCCTTTCTCACTATCTTTGACCCCCGATTCTCTAGACCAGGGTTTCTCAACCTCTGTACTGTTGACATTTGGGGCCGAATAATTCTTTGTCGTGGGAGGCGGTCCTGCGCATTGTAGAATGTTTTGGCAGCATCCCTGACCTCTCCCAGCAGATGCCAGTAGCACCCCCTCCCCACCCAGTGTGACAACCAAAAATGTCTCCAAACATTGCCAAATGTCCCCCGGGGGTGGAGGGGGAGGCAGAATTACCCACTGTTGAGAACCACTGCTCTAGACGAAAGTCCACAGTGCAGGGGAGAGTAAAAATCCAGTGAAGGAAATGTTGGATGGAGGTGACTCTGAGCACCAACTTTTAGCACGTTCTTTCTTTGCTATTGCTCAGGTATTTCCCAACAAAGACAGTAACAAAATAATTCCCGTAATATATTGGCAATGTTGTTCTCGTGCTTTTCTCCTAATACTTTCTTGTTTCTTTTGCAGAATTGAGAGTATGTTTCCTTGTTTATCCGATACATCACTGCTTGAAGCAAGGAAGATATAAATTAAACATTTTGAATACATATCGCTGACTCCACGGAGTGGACATCCCTTATAAGCACTGAACAGCAACAACCCAATAACACTAAAGTTTTAGGCACTCTTAAATCATCTGCCTCTAAAAGCATTGGATGTAGCATTGTGCAATTAGGTTTTTCCTTATTTGCTTCATTGTACTACCTGTGTATATAGTTTTTACTTTTTTTGTAGCACATAAACCTTGGGGAAGGGAGGGCAGGGTGGGGCTGAGGAATTGGCATGGGGGGGTATGAAGAGCTTGCTTCGATTTAGAGCAAGGAGAAAAATATTTTACTTGCACTAAGAGAAGCAGTCTGGGGGGAAGGTTTTGTTTTCTTTAAAGATGTAATGTCCCTTTCAGTGAGAACTGATACTTCGTTTAAAAAATCATCCAAATTTGAACACTGGCTGCAGATAATTGATACTTATTTTTACATGAAGCTTTTTCTCATTTAGGAGCTCAGATGATTCCGTTATGTAGCAGCAAATGGCTTTTTTTTTTTAAACAAAACTCTACTCAGTGCTCCCCGGCTTCTCCAGTCTCCCTTAAAATTGGAATTTGCCAGTTAAAGTATTCAGCTGTTTGGTAATCACTCCAGGTACCCCTGGGCAAAAATCTGGCATGTATGGGGGGAGTTCTGAATGCTCAGAATTGACCATTTAATTTTTATCAGATTTGTTGAGAAAATTTCTTAATTTTCTTTTCACTTCAGGGTGTGTAGACACAGTCAAAATCATTCTAAATCCCTGGATATTTTTAAAGATCTGTAAGTAACTTGACATAAAAAATAATGAAATAATGTTTAATTTACAGCTTCTCATTCTATTTGTTAATTTGCCCAAAGGAAAGTGGTGTTTTTAAAGGAAAGTGCGTATAGAGAAAAGCACCCGTGGATAGGTGAAATGTGAAATGGATACTACATCTTTAAACAGTATTTTTACACTGCCTGTGTATGTGTATGAAACAAAACCATTTGAAGTGTACCTGTGTACATAACTCTGTAAAGACACTGAAAATTATACTAACTTATTTATGTTAAAAAGAGATTTTTTTTTTTTTTTAATCTAGACAATATACAAGCCAAAGCGGCATGTTTTGTGCATTTGTAAATGCTGTATTGGGTAGACTAGGTTTTCCCCCTTCTTCTTTTAAATAATATGGCTGTGCTTAAAAGGTTGCATACTGAGCCAGGTATAATTTTTTGTAATGTGTGAAAAAGACGCCAATTATTGTTACACATCAAGTAGTCAATAAAGAAAACTTCCATAGCTATTTGTTGACTTGAACTGTATGTAATGTACCTTATTAGTAAGCTTGAGGTATTTGACCTAGCTTTGTAGTCATATTTCCACAAATATAATATGAACTGGCAAACACCTAGATAATTCAGGCCCACCACTCAGATGATGTTTATGTAGGTCCGAATGTAGTAACTCTTTTCCACTTAGTTCTGTATGGGTGGACAAAGCTTTAGAAGTGGAAAGTAGGCAGGCCACATTTTCATATTAATAAGATGGTCAAAGTCTCCATTAGTTCAAATATTTACGTCTCTAGGATATGAATGTGTCAGAACCAAAAATTGTTACATAAGCGTAGACCGATCACACGTTTGCAGGATTGAAAATGAAACTAACATGGTGATTTCTCTAAATTCTGTATTTACACATGCAGTGTTGTGAGGAATTAGGGCCATTTTTCAGACCATCTAATCTACACCTCTCATCCAAAATATTCAGATATATAGGTCCTTGAGAAATGGGTGTGCATTCCACACTAATTTAGGTAGAACAGGTATGCTTCAAATTGAACTGGTCATCATACACGAACTCCTCAATTTCTAAATTTCCTGGTTATAATCTACACAACCTAAAACTGGTTAATCTGAATACCGGATCTGAGAGTTTGAGGATCCCATATACACAGAGCAAAGATATTTTTTATTTAAATAAGAAAAAAAATTAAACACGGCATTTTAAAGTCAGATTTATTAGGATAATCCCTGCAATTTGAAATTCTCATAAAATGTGGCTAAGGTGTAAGATTAAATTATTTTTTCTAGGAATCTGCAAATGGTTAAATGCAAAAATCTGGATTTGGGTTCAATTGTTTCTCTCAAATACTTGCATTTAATTTATTGCACCCCAAAAGGGGCTCTAAACAAGATAATTTCAGCTTATTTTGACCTGAAATTGCTTATCAAAAAACAAAAAAACCAAAAAAACCCCCAGGGTTGAGTCTCTTCGACTGCCAGGAAGGGAAAAGTAGGTACTTTGGTGGCTGGGCCACATCTTCCAAGTTGGTATTATTTTAATTAAAGACTAAAGGTGTTTTTGTGATTCTATTCAAAACACGAAGGCAGGGTGTTTTTCAGGAAGAGACTGAGAAAGCAAGAAAAACAATTCAAAATGGGGAGGAAGGAGTGGAGAGTCAGGAAATAATGAAATAAATTCTCACTGAGCCAAAAAGGATACTTTAAAAAGTGTCTCTAACAGATAGGGGGAAAAAGTCCTCTTCTAATTGCTGCTTATAACCCGTTTCTTTCCCAAAGAGCCATCTTTAATGTGAATTTTTAGAGATTGCGTTTTAGGAGTGCTGGGCCAGGAAGAAGTGGATGCTCGCCGCGCCAGGCACGTTCACAGGAACGCAGTCCCTAAAGTCACCGTGTCGGTCCTTCACGCGTTCTATGTCAAGTCTCCAAACGTGTTCCCGGGATTCGGAGCGTCCTCTCCCCGACCCCGGACTGCAGGGTCCGCCGCGGGCGTCCCTCCGAGGGGATGCGGCCGCCGGCGCCAGCCACCCCCTACCCCGCTACCCCGGCCACTGCGCCGTCGTCTCTCCACCCTGCCCCGCAGCCCCGCGCCGGCCCGCCGCGGCAGTTGCGGGGTCAGGCTGGCTGGAGCCTCGGGACGAAAAGGCTATTAAGTCTAGCTCCTCGTCTGCAACTGGCGGCTCCCGCACCGCCCGGATCACTGCGCGCAGTTCCCGCGCCCCGGGCGCCCGCAGGCCATGGAGGGCGGCTGCGCCTCGGCCCCCGCAGCTGGGCTGGGCGGTTTCTCCGAAACTTGCCTCCCTCATCATTTCTCCTCTGGGCTAAGAAAGAAGCGAAAACCCCCATTCCTCTCCACAATCAGACCCTGCACATCAGTACCCCGCCAACTCCAGGGCGCTGGGGAGATTCGAGCGGAGAGAAGAACCTTTCCGAATTCGTGGACCCTCCAGGGCAGCAGCCCGCTCCCACCCCCACCCCAGGCTCCAATGATCCGCAGCCCCGCGCATTTCGAAAGGCTTCTCGGCTCGCCGGCGGCCCAGGAGGGCCGCAGCCGTGCGCAGGAGGGGCCGCGCGCCACAGCCGCTCGCGGGGGTCGCTTCCTCCCTTACACCCGCTCTGTTAAGTCCCTCGGTTGCATCCCCGCTGCCCAGTGCGGGGGACCAGGGCAGGGAAGACCTAGGAAACTGTGGGTCCAGAGGCATAACTGGGGACGGAGGGGACAGTGGAAATCAACAGGAGGGGAGCGGGGCGGGCGGCCTTTCAGGCCACGGTGTGCCCACCGGCCGCGCGCCGAGACCTTTCCGGGCTGCCGAGGAACGCTGCCTTCGCCATTTCATCTTAACCCTCGTTAGCGTAGACACTTGCTCTTCCGAAGCTTTTCTGAATTGAAAGAAAGGTGTTTTAGAAGCTCGTCTAGGATCTGCGATCTGTTTTTCAGAGTACGAATTTCTTTTTTTTTTTTTCAAGTTTGCCATCTCTTTCACCTGGGCCACACCCTACGTTCGCTCCCCTCCCTCCCGGCCAAAATTAAGGTAAAAATCCTGCGAGCAGAGCTGGGCGGGGGGCTGGGTCAGAGGGTCCACGGTCACGCTAGACCCTCTCCTCTCCCGGGGAGGTGGGGGTTGGTGGCACCCCCTGGATCTCGGCTTGCGGGGGGGTAGGGCGGGGTGGGTCAGCGCCAGCCAGACCCCGCAGAACCGAAAGTGTAGCATTTACACGTACACTCAAGTCCCCGTGCGGCCATCCGCGCCCCGGGCCTGTCTCGCGTGGGGACACACACAGAGGAGGCAGGAATCCCCGAGTGAAAAATACAGAAAGGAATCGAGGCGTGCTGGGAGCCAAACGTCGACGCGCCTCAAAACGAACGTGAAGAAAAGGCAGGGAGAAGGGCGCGCAGCCGGGACGCGGGGCCGGGGGATTGCATCATTGCAGCTCCCCCTCCAGAAAATGGGCTCCGAACCGCGGCTACCATCATGGCGCTCGGGCCGGGCCGCGCTTCCCGTGCGCCTTCCCCGAGCGCTCTGGCCACGGGCACTGAGCCTCGAGCGAGAGTTCTGCAAACATGTCCCCCTTCTCTCTCGAACGCCTGTCCCCCACCCCCTCCTTCCTTTTGTGTGCTTGTGGACGTGCGTGTATGCGTGCGTCCGTGTGAGTGTGTGCGCGGACCAGAGAACTTGAAGTGTTTTTTTTTTTTTCTCTTTTTTTTCCCTCCCGTGCTGGTGGTTGTAAACTTGATTGGCATTGGCTGCACCCACTGACCCCTGCGCCGAGTCCACTGAAGATTTAAGGTGGATCCGAGAAGCTGCAGCTTCAGGCGGAGTCTCGAGCTTTAGCTAGTTTTGGAGGAAAAAAAAAAAAAAAAAACCCCAAACCGTGCGCCCGCCGCGTTTTTACGAATCCCCTGCGGTACCAGCCCCCGCGCCCGCCCCGCCCGTCGCGCGCTGGCTCCGCCCCCTCCCGCTTCTTCCCCATTGGCCCGCGAGAGCAGTTTGAATTTTTTTTTTTTTTCCTTTGGATGCTTGTTTTCTCGTAAAAAAAGACGGTGCCCCAGCTCGTGTGGCGAAACCTACTTCGGCGGCCCGAGGTGCGGTGTTGTAGCTGGTTTTGTGAAGGCAGGAGGGAGGAGGGTGGGCGGGGCTTCCGTTCCCAAATTTTATCCCGAAGAGCGGTAGACAGTGTGCGGGCGTGTGGGGGGGCCTGGGGCCTCGGTGTACAATCTGGAGAAGCTGCGGCGGGGGCAGAGTGTAGTATAAAACGTTACTGGACGTCCAGGGCGCGTCGCTTCACCGGCTGCTGGCCAGAGGTACTAGGAGGAGCTGGCAGGAGCCCTGGCGAGGATGCACCTTTCCCCTGCCTTGGAAAGGTAGAACTGGGCAGGGCGGGAGGGTGAAGGTAGCCCGGAAAAGAACACTTTCTCATTTCCAAGGGAAAAAAGCAACAGAAGAAATACAATTATAGCAAAAATGTATTATTTCAAAGGTCACCCAGTCAGAATCCTTCAAAATTCAGGCAGTCAGTATCATTTTTACTGAATTAAGAAAAAAAAGCTTTCTGTCTTTGATTTCCAGGGTGTTTTTGAGTAAGGAGCATGTTAAAATAAAATCGAGATAGGGATTAAGACTTTGAAAGTGCCTCTGATTACTGGGTCTGAAATTAATTCTTTTGATAAAGTACTTTACCATTTAGGATAATGTTATTTGTAATACAGGTCTTATACAAGTGATAGCCTTCCTTAATTTATAACCCGGTTATGTTTTACTTTACTGTGAAATTTTTTAAAGTTTATGATAATTCGAATTATTCTCCAAATCACTGAATCTCCAGATTAGTGAGGTTAGCATATGTACAGTTTTTTGGGGGGTCCGTTACTCTTGTTGCAGTGTGGCTGACGATTTTAACCAGATGTCCAGACCCAGCCTTCAGTCTAACGGTTCCTATCCTGTCCAACCTACAGTCAATTTTTTAGTACTAAACTCTCCCAATACTTCCTAACCCAACTAACCCCTTAAGCTTAGCCCAGACCAACCAGCCTCCTCAGACCACCATAAACCAACCTGCTTGTGCCCTTAGCAAGGACTTTTGGGAGTTAAGATTGTCCCCCAATGGACTGGGTAGCTTCAGGAAGCAGTGATCTCCTCATTCCTGGAAATACCAGTCAAACACTAGTCTGGATGACCCCTTAATAGGGACATTGTAGAAAAGATTCAAATATCAAGTGAATATTAGGACTAGTGATTTTGAAAGTCTGTTCCAGACCATTGAGATACTGTATTTCCAAACTTGGAGTTCCTGGATATCTACTAAACCAAGCCATTTGCCTTGCTCATTACCATTTTCTAGAGTTGTGCTCTCCAATATGGTAGCCAGAAGCCATTTGTGGCTGTCGAGCACTTGAATGTGACTAGTCCAAACTGAGATGTGCTATGTGTGAAATATACTCAGGGTTTCCAAGAATTAGTATGAAAAAGTGTTAAATATCTCATTAATAATTTTTATATTGATTACATGTTGAAATAATCATATTTTTGGTTATTGGGTTAAAAATATTAAAATTTATTTCATCTGTTTCTTTTTAAACTTTTTTTTAGTGTGGTTACTAGACAATTAAAAAAAAAAACTCAAACATGATTTTATGTTTTTAATTTTTTGGCCCTGCCTTCCGGCATGTGGGATCTTAGTTCCCCAACCAGGGATTGAACCCATGCCCCCTGCAGTGGAAGCTCAAGAGTCTTAACCACTGAACCTCCAGGGAAGTCCCTAGACAGTTTTAATTTATAGATGTGACTCGCATTATATATTTCTGTTTGGACGTTGCTCTTCTAGACCGACACCCGTGGTAACTCGAAGCCCCATCTTTGAGATTGGTGGCTGATAATATTGAGGAGTAGCTGATAACTTCTAGTTGCCATCCTAAGTTCTCAAGTTACGTCAAGGCCCAAACCCAGCCTCAGGAACCCTTAAAGAATTCTACCAACACCTAACACCTACGGTTTAATCTATAACACATAGTACTTGTTTTGAGCCCAGCCCATGGAAATATGGTACAGCTCTGTCTGATTAAATCAGACTTGATCACAGCTTTCCACATTTATGTAGAGAACCTGGGAGAGCCAATATGTTAGGAATGACCCTGGAAAAAAAATTTAGATCCCAAACAAAGTCTCCATGAGTAACTTTTCAGTAGCACTTGTCAGCAGAGAGGAAGGTGGGAGGGAGATGGAGCAGTGTTCTCATTCCGTGATTGCGCCTCTATCAGAAGATTGGAACGAACGAAAAGGCGTGCCGTGTTTTTGGATAGGTATACGCAAAATGATAAAGATGGCAGTAAATTTATACCTTTTAAGTTAAATTTGTACCTTTGCACTAAATTCTAAGTCTGATCATCCTATTTCGTTCCATTGTTCAGTTTAAACACTGAGGACCATTTATTTTAATTACTGTAAGTTTAGAATAGTTATAATTACTCATAGCACTAATCCTCCACACCCCAACCAGTACCTTTACTCTTCTCTTTTTCAGAATTTTCCTGGATTCTTTGCTTGCCTCCCCTCACCCCTCCCCCCGCCACCCCGATGGATTTAAAATGAATTTTGTCTAGTTGCAAATTCCTGTTGTGTTAAAATAATAAATAAAGTGGGATCCTTATCTCCCACTTCATACCAGATAAATTCCTCAAGAATTAAAGAGTGAAATTAAAAAAAAAAAAGGCATAGACATACGAGAAGAGATCTCAGAGAACTTTTTTTTTTTAATATAAATTTATTTATTTATTTATTTAGGCTGTGTTGGGTCTTCGTTTCTGTGCGAGGTCTTTCTCTAGTTGCAGCAAGCGGGGGCCACTCTTCATCGCGGTGCGCGGGCCTCTCACTGTTGCGGCCTCTCTTGTTGTGGAGCACAGGCTCCAGACGCGCAGGCTCAGTAGCTGTGGCTCACGGGCCCATTTGCTCCGCGGCATGTACGATCTTCCCAGACCAGGGCTTGAACCCGTGTGCCCTGCATTGGCAGGCAGATTTCTCAACCACTGCGCCACCAGGGAAGCCCTCAGAGAAGTTTTAAAGATATAATCTCAGAGTGAGGAAGGTCTTTCTAAGTATGACACAACACATAAAATCCATAATCTGAGTCTCTCCAAAATCATTACCTTATTCTGGCTTTCCCTTCATATTCATAAATTCAATGACATAAAAATATTCTGCATGGAAAACCCGCCATAGAAAGTCAAAAGTCAGTGACATGGTGGTGAGAGTCGTACAACAATGTGAATGTACTTAATGACACTGAACTGGACATTTACAAACGGTTAAAACGGGAAATTTTACGTTATGTTGTAATTAACTATAATAGTACATAAATAAATATGCAGCTACAGTGGTCCTCCCTTACAGTGGATATCTGAAACCGAGGGTAATACCGAAACCTACATATACCGTGTTTTTTCCTAAACTAAGGAGCAGGTAGCATATACAGGATGGATATGCTGGACGAAGCGATGCTTTTTGTCCTGGGCGGGAAGGAGCCAGACTATTGAGAGATTTCATCATGCTACTCAGAAGGTCCTGCAATTTAAAACCTATGAATTGTTTATTTCTGGAATTTTCCTTGTAATATATCTGGATGCCGGTTAACCACGGGTAACTGAAACTGAGAAAATCGGAAACTCGGATAAAGAGGAGCTACTGTACTGGAAGAATTTTAAAGTTCATCCATGTTCCATCTAAAAGAATCTCACAGGATTCTGGATCCCATCCTTTTTGAGGCTCTGGAATGAGACTGCTTGGGGTAGAGTCCTATTTACCTCACTTATTGCCTGTGAGACCCTTTTGCAAGTTACTGTGTGCAGTACTTAGCACAGTACCTGGTATATATAAATAATAACCATTATACACATAATTAATAGGGACATCCAGGGGTTTTTTTTGGCCATGCCACGCAGCATGAGGGATCTTAGTTCCCTGACCAAGGATCGACCCTGTGCCCCCTGCAGTGGAAGCTCGGAGCCCTAAGCACTGGACCTCCAGGGAATTCCCCGAGACATCCATTTTTTTTTTTTTATTTTTTTTTATTTTGGATTCTCAAGTAACCACAACCGGCACTATACTAACCTTGTAAACGTATTTTCTCATTTTTAATTACTGCTATTGTTACCCTTAAGAGGAACAAGTAATTTTGGAGGGGGGTGGTAATTTAATAAACAGAATGAATATACTGCAAAAACTGGTTGAAACGGTAAGTTTAATGTATATTTTACCCCAATTTTTTTAAAAAGTTTAAAAAATAAGGCATTTGTGGGAGTTCCCTGGTGGCCTAGTGGTTAGAATTCCAGGCTTTCACTGCTGTGGCCTGGGTTCAATCCCTGGTCGAGTAACTGAGATTCCACAAGCCACATGGTGTTGTCAAAAAAAAAAGCATTCGTTGACTCTAGGGCCATCTTTAGTTACCTTAGAAAGGATCTGGTATAGATTTGTTTGTGGTA